AATCGGTTTTTGACCCCGAAAAACGTGTTTCTTAACAGGTTCTTGAAAAGAAATTTGGCTCTCAAATTTTTTAAAAATAAAAATCGTTCCTACAGCTGATTCTTGGCTCTGTTGACTGATGAGTTTTCCGACCGCTGGGTTAGGGTCTAGTCATGCTTACTGTCTGCGATAAGAGGTCCAGAAGTGGAGCCCCCAGGACAGTGGCGTTGGGGAATGGCTAGAGACCAGAGCTAGAGAAAGGCGTTCGAGTAGAGACCACAAAATGGGTCCCAGTAAAAGGATCACTGGTATATTGTCTGTCTTTCTTTCTTTCTTTCTTTCTTTCTTTCTTTCTTTCTTTCTTTCTTTCTTTCTTTCTTTCTTTCTTTCTTTCATTCTTTCTGTCTTTCTCTCTTTTTAAAAAAAAAACATTTTTAAAAATATTTTTTGGGGCAACTTTTTTGCTTCCAAGGATATTCAAAACTTTTTACATTAAAAAAAAAGATTTATATTAGCTTTAGTAATGTTTTATTTGTTACGCGCAATTTGTTCCAGAAATATTTCCTAGTTCAAACTCCATAGCGACTAGTTTTTACACTAACAAGTCATGGAGAAACTTTTCAAGTTGCTATTTCGTGTTGCAGATGGTTTTGTAACTCTGACAGCATTTCTTTTTTTAAATGCTCTAATAAGCAATAACCAGAAGAAGAGGCGACCCTTATCAATTAAGAGATTCTTTGATGCCGGACACAAACCTGTGTTTGATTGTTAGGACAGATTTGATGGATTATTAAATCGGATATTGGATCGGATCTTCAGTTGCACCGTGTACTGAAAGTTGTTCATTTGATTGTTCATATATAATCCTTTGAATCTTGAATGTGCACAAATTAATCTTATAATATTAATCATGCACTCGTATAGATCGATTTTAATCCCCAATAATCATCTGTTACCAGAGGAATGTGTTTAATCCAGTGGCAGCTACCATACGTCGTAATCCACTACCAGATGTTTTAATCTACTACCAGATGTTGTAATACACTACCATATGTTATTATGCACTATAGAGCTGTTGTAATCCACTATACCAGATATTGTAATCCACTACCAGATGTTGTAATACTCTACCAGATATTATTATGCACTATAGAGCTGTTGTAATCCACTACCAGATGTTGTAATCCCCTACCAGATGTTGTAGTACACTACCAGATGTTATTATGCACTATAGTGCTGTTGTAATCCACTACCAGATGTTGTAATACACTACCAGATGTTATTATGCACTATAGAGCTGTTGTAATCCACTACCAGATGTTGTAATACACTACCAGATGTTTTAATCCACTACCAGATGTCGTAATACCATACCAGATGTTGTAATACACTACCAGAGGTTATTATCCACTATAGAGCTGTTGTAATCCACTACCAGATTGTAATCCATTACCCGATTCTAATCTACTACCAGCTGTCGTAATCCACTGCCAGATGTTGTAATCCACTGTCGGAGGACAGTTTAAACCACCTACGTGATTTTTTCTCACCTGTAATGGACGATTTTCGAGCCATAATTACACCTGTGACCCATTATCTCCCGTGCAGTTGTGGAGGAGGGGGGGGGGTGTCATAGCCGAGGCATAAGAGCGGGGAGTCGCATGGCACAATCAATAGGTGTAAGCGCCTTCGATCTGCAGTAATAACAGGCATTGTTCAAGTCAACGCCCGGGTTGGACGACCAACAACGTCGCATGGCGAGGACGCAGGCTGACGTGCGGTCAATAATCCAATCATCAGGAAGTCAGACCCGTACAGCTACACAGGCTCTCATCATCACCTCCTCCTCCCCCCTTCCCTCCCCCCCCCACCAACCCATGCCTGTGCAGTAAGAAATAGACTTAATTTGGCTACATCAATCATATACATGATGTTGAGTTCCATGGCTAGGTAGTCAGACGGGCTGATATTCAAATCGGGCTATTTCAAAACGAGTGAGAACATTTTTTTTTTTAAAAAGTGTTTGCTCTACAGCCTAAGACTCTAGGGTAGCGTTTCACACAACCTTTTTTTTTTCCCAACCATACCACACCTAAGCCTTTCTAAAATTCCTACCCCCCCCCCCCCCCCCCCCCAATATGTTATTTATATATAATACACACGCACACCATTTTAATATTCAAACATTGAACTGAATCTCATTAAATGACAACTAAATGACAACTAAATGACAACTAAATGACAACCAAATGATAACTAAATGACAACTAAATGACAGGTTTTAGGAGAAAGGAAAAACGGTTAGGAATGCAATAGTATTTACAAAGAAATTTTTGAGGAAAGACAAAGTAAATTGTTAAAACATGTAGCGGAGAAGTGTGATTCAAGTGCAAAGATGAACGATTGTCTCAAATAGTTCACTTAGTTATCATTTCATTTATTATTCATTATTTGATCCTTTTAGAGCAGCCATTTATTGTCTTTGGCCATCACAGTAGGCGCACCATCATCTGCAACACAAGATATTTTTTTTTCAAAATTCTTTTATTGGTATATTATTGACATCTAAGTAAAAAAAAAATAATTTTATAGCTCATTTGATCTATCTTTGGCAGTAATGGTGCCATCTAATGATTTACAGGACAATATTTCGTCAGCAAAATCTCCTTTATCAATGTATCTTAAGTTATTAGTATACGGCCTCACTGTCTCTCAAAGTTGATTCATCCATTTGCACTGAGAATATTTTTGTTTTCAGATTTTCAAAAAGTTGTATTTCTTCTTTCAATTCATCTTTTTTTTAAATTTTTATTTTTTTATTTTTTGTTTTTATTTTATTTTTTTTTTATTTATTTTTTTTTGTTTATTTTTTTTTTTTTTTTTTGTTTTTTTTTTTTTTTTGTTTTTCCATTTTCATTTATAATATTTTTGTTTTCATATTTTCAAAAAGTTGTATTTCTTCTTTCAATTCTTCTTTTTTTTAAATTTTTATTTTTTTATTTTTTGTTTTTATTTTATTTTTTTTTTATTTATTTTTTTTTGTTTATTTTTTTTTTTTGTTATTTGTTTTTTTGTTGTTGTTGTTTAGCGAACTGTGACATAGCTTTCGCGTCTCTGTGATCTGTTTCCAGAACAGTTTTAAGATATGCTGACATCGATGGTTTGATTAAACCCCGATTCGCTTGGCCTAGTTCTGTACTCCTTCACTGTACACCTTCCCTGAATACCGTCACTGTACACCTTCACTGTACACCTTCACTGTACACCTTCACTGCACCCTGACACTTAAGTATGCATCAGCTCTATGACAAAAATGCCAGAAAACTTTAGCCTGAAACCGGAAATCAATTGTAGCTCTGCCAGTCTCACTGGTCTGAGATTAATGGTGCCTCCCTTCAATGTCAATCATGCAGGTCTGCCAAAAATGTTATCTGCCAAATCCCCCAAATAGACCTGTTTGGACTTCCTGAACAATAGAAATCGATTCATGATTCGTAGAATTTAAAAAAATCTTTAGTCTTCGTCTTGGACATTTCAACAAGTCTTTGGGTTATAGAGTATGAACACAATGTTGTTTTTTTGTGTTTTTTTTTTTTTGCTTTGTTTTTTTTTAAAGTTATAAGAACAGCAAGTCTTTGGGTTGTAGAGTATAATTACAATGTTGTTTTTTTTGTTCAAAGTTATAACATTGATAATGCCTGAATATATTATCGTGGCATTGTCATAAAGTCCGTGTATTCTAGTGGCATTTTATAATGTCTGTATTCTAGTGGTATTATTATAATGTCTGTGTATGCTAATGGCATTTTATAATGTCTGTGTATTCTAGTGGCATTATTAAAATGTCTGTATATTCTATAGTGGCATTTTTATGTCTGTGTATTTATAATGTATGTGTATTCTAGTGACATTATCATAATGTCTGTGTATTCTATTGGCATTATCATAATGTCTGTGTATTCTATTGGCATTATCATAATGTCTGTGTATTATATTGGCATTATCATAATGTCTGTGTATTCTATTGGAATTATAATAATGTCTGTGTATTCTAGTGGCATTATCATAATGTCTGTGTATTCTATTGGCATTATCATAATGTCTGTGTATTCTATTGGCATTATGATAATGTCTGTGTATTCTATTGACATTAGGATAATGTCTGTGTATTCTAGTGGCATTATCATAATGTCTGTGTATTCTATTGGCATTATCATAATGTCTGTGTATTCTAGTGGCATTATCATAATGTCTGTGTATTCTTGTGGCAATATCATAATGTCTGTGTATTCTATTGGCATTATGATAATGTCTGTGTATTCTATTGGCATTATCATAATGTTTGTGTATTCTATTGGCATTATCATAATGTCTGTGTATTCTTGTGGCATTATGATAATGTCTGTGTATTCTATTGGCATTATCATAATGTTTGTGTATTCTATTGGCATTATCATAATGTCTGTGTATTCTTGTGGCATTATTTTAAAAAGAACGTCCTCGTTTTCTAGTGAGATAATAATTAACCAATCTTTTGTATTTAAACTGTCTTGCTATTTGGCTTCACGGTATTTTTGGTTTGGTTGTAATTTTTGTATCTTAAGGCTTTCAATGTGGTGGATTGCTTAGTCGTAATTCGCAAATTTTATTCTTCGTCTAGTCTTCATTTATATTTCTTCTATAAATCTTAAAAGGCTTTTAGTACACAAGACAATTCAGCTGCCTTCGTTTCTTTGACAGTCGTTAGTGAACTAACGAACTCCTATATAGTAAACTAAATGACTCTTATATAGTAAACAAATTGACTATTATTTAGTAAAGTAATTTACTCCTATATAGCACACTAGTAAGCTCAATTACTCCTATATAGTAAACTTCAGTACTCCTATAATCGTTAGCATGGCTCAACTTGTATAGTACATTTAGTTTAACTTACTGCGAGCTTCTATCGACATGTTCTCTCTAAACTATACAAGAAAATCAACCATTTTCTTTCCATCTTCCAGGAGCATCAACCGTTCGGAGGCACGCCCCTGGCTATGCTGGCCGCCCAGTGCAACAAGATCACCACCAAAGCCTCGCCCCACGACACCGCCGGCAAGTCGTTCTTGCCGTGGAAAAAACAGCCCCCCGGCGCGCCACCCGCCGGGCACCTGCACCATCACATCGCCTCCCAGCGGATGTGCGGCCTCAACACACCCGCGCTGTCCATGCCCAACAACCTGTCCTACCCGCCGGTGACCTCCTCGGCCGTGTCGTCCTACCCCAACGAGCTGTTCTACTCGGGGGCCGGGGGCCCCTCACAGTGCTCAGAGCTCGCCCAGTCCGCCCTGCTGCACAAAATGCACTCGGAGAACGGGCACCCCAGCTTCGGGGCCGTGTACTCGAGGGTGCCCTCGGCCGCCTACGACCCCAGCTGGCACTTCACCAATATTCCGAGCACCCACCCCGGGGCGTCGCACGCCCTCAAGCACAACGGGATTACCCACATGGCCGGCGGGGGCGGGGGCGCGCCCTGGTGGGAGGTTCACCCCGCCTCGAACGTTCACTCCACCGGAAGTAACTGGCTGTCCGAGTCCTCGGCCTTGCACGGACAAATCGCCAGCCCGTATCCCGCCCCGGACTACCACATCGGGCACCCTCTAGCCTCTAACCCGGCTCTGTTGTCGTCGCAGCAGCACCTCCAGGACACATACAAGTCGATGCTGCAGCCCGCTCAGACTGACCTCGGCAACAACACCACCTACCTGCCGCGTCCATCCCTCCCAGGTCTGTCCAGTCCGAGAAATTCCCGGCGGTACACGGGACGAGCTACCTGCGACTGTCCCAACTGCCATGAAATAGACAGACTCGGTAAGTCTGCTTTTCCTAGTCTTATCCGTATAAACATATGCTTCGGACATTAGTCTTATCACAAGCCCTGCCTTCAACCTTGATCCTATTTTAGAATGGGAATATTAAATCAGACCCAGAGCTCTAGACTCTAGATCAGGCCTGCATACCATACGGCCCGCGGGCCACGCGCGGTCCGCCAGTAACCACTATGCGGCCCGCGAAGTAATGAACTATTCTTAGTTATTATTTTCTTAATAGTTTCCCCCTTGTCCTATTTCTTTCAACCCGCACAAGTTTTTCATAACGTATTGCGGCCCGCCTTACATTTTGAGTTGTTCAGGCCTGCTCTAGACCAAGACCTGGCAAGTCTTGCCCCATTTTCATGTCATAAAAATACATTCCCAACTAGTATTCTTGGGCACCTAGTTCAGGAATATCTGGGAACCTAGTTCAGGTAATTCTGGGAACCTAGTTCAGATATCTCTGTCTACTAGTTTCAGTACATCTGTGAACTTAGTTCGAGTACATCTGGGAAGCTAGGTCCAGTAAATCTACTTGCCTCTCTGGTTGTACATTACACTCAGTAACAAAATGACAGGTGGCCTATTTCATATGTGTTCATTGTTTCACACAATGGCCGACAATTCTTAACACTAAATAAGTCCAAGAAGGATAACCTGCCACTGCAAGTGTTGGAGTTATCCCCCACCCCCCTCCGAATAAGTAAAATAGTGGTTGGAGTATGGGGTTGGGTGGGCTGGGGGTGGGTGGTGTAAACTGAATTGAAAGATTGTAGACAAAGACGATTTCTTTGAAACCACTTCTGTCAACAAGTGTCTAATTTCTGGGCTGAGTTCTTTCATTACTCACCCAATTTGTATTTCTGGATTCTTCCTGGGCTGAGTTCTTTCATTACTCACCCAATTTGTATTTCTGGATTCTTCCTGGGCTGAGTTCTTTCATTACTCACCCAATTTGTATTTCTGGATTCTTCCTGGGCTGAGTTCTTTCATTACTCACCCAATTTGTATTTCTGGATTCTTCCTGGGCTGAGTTCTTTCATTACTCACCCAATTTGTATTTCTGGATTCTTCCTGGGCTGAGTTCTTTCATTACTCACCCAATTTGTATTTCTGGATTCTTCCTGGGCTGAGTTCTTTCATTACTCACCCAATTTGTATTTCTGGATTCTTCCTGGGCTGAGTTCTTTCATTACTCACCCAATTTGTATTTCTGGATTCTTCCTGGGCTGAGTTCTTTCATTACTCACCCAATTTGTATTTCTGGATTCTTCCTGGGCTGAGTTCTTTCATTACTCACCCAATTTGTATTTCTGGATTCTTCCTGGGCTGAGTTCTTTCATTACTCACCCAATTTGTATTTCTGGATTCTTCCTGGGCTGAGTTCTTTCATTACTCACCCAATTTGTATTTCTGGATTCTTCCTGGGCTGAGTTCTTTCATTACTCACCCAATTTGTATTTCTGGATTCTTCCTGGGCTGAGTTCTTTCATTACTCACCCAATTTGTATTTCTGGATTCTTCCTGGGCTGAGTTCTTTCATTACTCACCCAATTTGTATTTCTGGATTCTTCCTGGGCTGAGTTCTTTCATTACTCACCCAATTTGTATTTCTGGATTCTTCCTGGGCTGAGTTCTTTCATTACTCACCCAATTTGTATTTCTGGATTCTTCCTGGGCTGAGTTCTTTCATTACTCACCCAATTTGTATTTCTGGATTCTTCCTGGGCTGAGTTCTTTCATTACTCACCCAATTTGTATTTCTGGATTCTTCCTGGGCTGAGTTCTTTCATTACTCACCCAATTTGTATTTCTGGATTCTTCCTGGGCTGAGTTCTTTCATTACTCACCCAATTTGTATTTCTGGATTCTTCCTGGGCTGAGTTCTTTCATTACTCACCCAATTTGTATTTCTGGATTCTTCCTGGGCTGAGTTCTNGGGTGGGGGGGTGGGGTGGGGGAGCTATTAAGAAATTATTAAGAAAAAATGATGTTTCGTTACTTCGGAAGTCGTAAAGTGTGTGCTGGCTGGCCGCGTGCGGGCTTGTGTTAAATAGTTCTTTAACGTATATTTTTTAATACAATAATCTTTGGCTTCTTCAGCTATTTCATGCCTTTGGTTAAAAGGTCCGAATATTGTCATTAAAATGTCCAAATATTGTCATTAAAATGTCCAAATATCGTCTTTAAAATGTCCAAATATTGTCAATAAAATGTCCAAAATTGTCTTTAAAATGTCCAAAATTGTCTTTAAAATGTCCAAATATTGTCAATAAAATGTCCAAATATCGTCATTAAAATGTCCAAATATTGTCAATAAAATGTCCAAATATTGTTGTTAAAATGTCCAAATATTGTCATTAAAATTTCCAAATATTGTCACTAAAATGTCCAAGTATTGTCATTAAAATGTCCAAATATTGTCATTAAAATGTCCAAATATAGTCAATAAAATGTCCAAATATTGTCAATAAAATGTCCAAATATTGTCAATAAAATGTCCAAATATTGTTGTTAAAATGTCCAAATATTGTCATTAAAATTTCCAAATATTGTCACTAAAATGTCCAAATACAGCCATTAAAATGTCCAAATATTGTCAATAAAATGTCCAAATATCGTCATTAAAATGTCCAAATATTGTCAATAAAATATCCAAATATTGTCAATAAAATGTCCAAATATCGTCATTAAAATGTACAAATATTGTCAATAAAATATCCAAATATTGTCTTTAAAATGTCCAAATACAGCCATTAAAATGTCCAAATATTGTCAATAAAATGTCCAAATATTGTTATTAAAATGTCCAAATATTGTCAATAAAATTTCCAAATATTGTCAATAAAATGTCCAAATATTGTCATTAAAATGTCCAAATATTGTCAATAAAATGTTTAAATATTGTCTTTAAAATGTCCAAATATTGTCATTAAAATGTCCAAATATTGTTATTAAAATGTCCAAATATTGTCACTGAAATGTCCAAATATTGTCATTAAAATGTCCAAATATTGTCACTAAAATGTCCAAATATTGTCAATAAAATGTCCAAATATTGTCATTAAAATGTCCAAATATTGTCATTAAAATGTTCAAATATTTTCAATAAAATGTCCAAATATTGTCTTTAAAATGTCCAAATACACCCATTAAAATTTCCAAAAATTGTCATTAAAATGTCCAAATATTGTCAATAAAATGTCCAAATATCGTCATTAAAATGTCCAAATATCGTCAATAAAATGTCCAAATATTATCTTTAAAAAGTCCAAATATTGTCTTTAAAATGTCCAAATACAGCCATTAAAATGTCCAAATGTTGTCAATAAAATGTCCAAATATTGTCAATTAAATGTCCAAATATTGTCATTAAAATGTCCAAATACAGCCATTAAAATGTTCAAATATTGTCAACAAAATGTCCAAATATTGTCATAAAAATGTCCAAATACAGCCATTAAAATGAACTTGTTGACCGTAAATGTGCCCATTTCTCTCCAGGTCCGGCTGGCGAGCACCTCAGAAAGCGCAACATCCACTCCTGTCACATACCTGGCTGTGGTAAAGTCTACAACAAGACGTCTCACCTGAAGGCTCACCTGAGGTGGCACACGGGCGAGAGACCTTTTGTCTGCAACTGGCTCTTCTGTGCCAAGAGGTGGGACGAGAACACGCCTCTGTTTGAGATGATCGTGTTCTGTGGGTGTCTGTGTGGTTGTTTGTGGGGGGGGGGATGTCTGTGTGTGTGGTTGTTTGTTTGGGTGTCTGTGTGTGGTTGTTTGTGTGAGTGCTTGTGTGGTTGTCTGTGTGGTTATTTGTATTGGTGTCTGTGTGTGTCTGTGTGGGTGTTTGTGTGGGTGCTTTTGTGGGTGCTTGTGTAGGAGTCTGTGTGTGTGGTTGTTTGTGTGGGTGTCTGTGTGTGTGGTTGTTTGTGTGGGTGTATGTGTGTGTCTGTGTGGAAGTTTGTGTGGGTGTATGTGTGTGTGGTTGTTTGTGTGGGTGTATGTGTGTGTCTGTGTGGAAGTTTGTGTGGGTGTCTGTGTGTGTGGTTCTTTGTGTGGGTGTCTGTGTGTGTCTGTGTGATTATTTATTTGGGTGCTTGTGTGCGTGATTGTGTGCGTGATTGTGTGCGTGATTGTGTGCGTGATTGTTTGTTGTTGTTGTTGTTTTAGAGTTGAGTCGTTGTTGTCATCTGATCATCTTGACATATCCATTTTTGTGTGTGTGGATCCTTTAGGAGCTTGATGGATTAGGCTTTCAAATTGTTCCCTTCTCGTTATGGTATGTAAACAAAATATCCAACTCTGGTCTAAAAATCTCACCTCTTCCTCTCCCTACCCCCCTCACTTATTAAAACCCCTCGTGTGTTCCTCGTTCCCCAGGTTCACGAGATCCGACGAGCTACAGCGACACCTGCGGACGCACACGGGCGAGAAGCGCTTTGCATGTCCCAAATGTAATAAAAGGTATCACATTTTAGTGATCGTATCACTTTTTAACACATACCACATTTTCAGTGATAGTATTACTTCTAGTATGACACATTTTAGTGATCGAATCACTTTTTAACACATACCACATTTTCAGTGGTAGTATTACTTCTAGTATGACACAGTTTAGTGATCGTATCACTTTTAATATACGCCACATCTTAGTGACCCTATCATTTTTAATATATACCACATTTAAGTGATACTATCACTTCTGTTATACCAAGTTATAGGGATATTATCACTTTAATATAAACCACATTTCAGTTATATTATCAGTTGTATTATACCACATTTTAGTGATAGTATCAATTTTTATATATATCATATTTAAGTGATAGTATTAATTTTAATATATACCACATTTGAGTGATAATATTAATTTTAATATAGACCTCATTTTAGTGATAGTATCAATTCTAATAAACGGTGGGTAAAATTCACTTCATTGACCTGATTCTGTAAAAATGTCACATTGTGTTGCACACATTGCAAACAATTAGGATCTTCAACACATTGAATGGAATATAACATACCTATGAGAAAAAGGGGGTGGGGTGCGATTTTAAAGAAAATGGGGATTGAAACATACGTGAGGGGGGGGGCGGGCCTGGGATGGGGGGTGGGGGCGTGTAGACTAATAAAGATTGGTGTCAAATTGAACACCATCACAGATGTTAAACTTAACACCTGCTAATACCAAGTTACAACAATAATGTCACATATAATGGTACTCATTATTGTAGTACTGATAATCGGTAAATTGTTATTTACTATAGTATAATACTAATAGTAGTATTAGTAGAAATAATAGGCCTAATAAAAATACATAATACTGATTATGGTAATATTAATTATAAGAATACAGTAATAGATTTTAAAAAAAAATGATAATAATAATAAATAATATTTATTATTTATTGCTGTTCTCATTATAACGTGAATGAACACAGGGGATGTGTCATAAAACTAGATCAATGTTGAACAAAGGGGATGTATCATAAAACTAGATCACTGTTGAACCATAGGGGATGTGTCATAAAACTAGATCAATGTTGAACCATAGGGGATGTATCATAAAACTAGATCAATGTTGAACAATAGAGGATGTATCATAAAACTAGTTCAATGTTGAACAGTAGGCGATGTATCATAAAACTAGATCAATGTTGAACCATAGGGGATGTATCATAAAACTAGTTCAATGTTGAACAGTAGGCGATGTATCATAAAACTAGATCAATGTTGAACCATAGGGGATGTATCATAAAACTAGTTCAATGTTGAACAATAGGGGATGTATCATAAAACTAGTTCAATGTTGAACAATAGGGGATGTATCATAAAACTAGTTCAATGTTGAACAATAGGGGATGTATCATAAAACTAGTTCAATGTTGAACCATAGGGGATGTATCATAAAACTAGATCAATGTTGAACAATAGGGGATGTATCATAAAACTAGATCAATGTTGAACAATAGGGGATGTATCATAAAACTAGTTCAATGTTGAACCATAGGGGATGTATCATAAAACTAGATCAATGTTGAACCATAGGGGATGTATCATAAAACTAGATCAATGTTGAACCATAGGGGATGTAATCATAAAACTAGATTAATGTTGAACAATAGGGGATGTGTCATAAAACTAGATCAATGTTGAACAAAGGGGATGTATCATAAAACTAGTTCAATGTTGAACCATAGGGGATGTATCATAAAACTAGATCAATGTTGAACAATAGGGGATGTATCATAAAACTAGATCAATGTTGAACAATAGGGGATGTATCATAAAACTAGTTCAATGTTGAACCATAGGGGATGTATCATAAAACTAGATCAATGTTGAACCATAGGGGATGTATCATAAAACTAGATCAATGTTGAACCATAGGGGATGTAATCATAAAACTAGTTCAATGTTGAACAATAGGGGATGTATCATAAAACTAGATCAATGTTGAACCATAGGGGATGTAATCATAAAACTAGATTAATGTTGAACCATAGGGGATGTAATCATAAAACTAGATCAATGTTGAACCATAGGGGATGTAATCATAAAACTAGATTAATGTTGAACAATAGGGGATGTATCATAAACTAGATCAATGTTGAACACAGGGCATGTATCATAAAACTAGTTCAATGTTGAACCATAGGGGATGTATCATAAAACTAGTGTATGTTGAACCATAGGGGATGTATCATAAAACTAGATCGATTTTGAACACAGGGCATGTATCATAAAACTAGTTCAATGTTGAACCATAGGGGATGTATCATAAAACTAGATCAATGTTGAACCATAGGGGATGTATCATAAAACTAGTTCAATGTTGAACAATAGGGGATGTATCATAAAACTAGTTCAATGTTGAACAGTAGGGGATGTGTCATAAAACTAGATCAATGTTGAACAAAGGGGATGTATCATAAAACTAGATCAATGTTGAACAGTAGGCGATGTATCATAAAACTAGTTCAATGTTGAACACAGGGCATGTATCATAAAACTAGTTCAATGTTGAACCATAGGGGATGTATCATAAAACTAGTTCAATGTTGAACAATAGGGGATGTATCATAAAACTAGATCAATGTTGAACCATAGGGGATGTATCATAAAACTAGATCAATGTTGAACCATAGGGGATGTATCATAAAACTAGATCAATGTTGAACAATAGGGGATGTATCATAAAACTAGATCAATGTTGAACCATAGGGGATGTAATCATAAAACTAGATTAATGTTGAACCATAGGGGATGTAATCATAAAACTAGATCAATGTTGAACCATAGGGGATGTAATCATAAAACTAGATTAATGTTGAACAATAGGGGATGTATCATAAACTAGATCAATGTTGAACACAGGGCATGTATCATAAAACTAGTTCAATGTTGAACCATAGGGGATGTATCATAAAACTAGTTCAATGTTGAACACAGGGCATGTATCATAAAACTAGTTCAATGTTGAACCATAGGGGATGTATCATAAAACTAGTTCAATGTTGAACACAGGGCATGTATCATAAAACCTGTTCAATGTTGAACCATAGGGGATGTATCATAAAACTAGATCGATGTTGAACCATAGGGGATGTATCATAAAACTAGTTCAATGTTGAACAATAGGGGATGTATCATAAAACTAGTTCAATGTTGAACAATAGGGGATGTATCATAAAACTAGTTCAATGTTGAACAATAGGGGATGTATCATAAAACTAGTTCAATGTTGAACCATAGGGGATGTATCATAAAACTAGATCAATGTTGAACAATAGGGGATGTATCATAAAACTAGATCAATGTTGAACAATAGGGGATGTATCATAAAACTAGTTCAATGTTGAACCATAGGGGATGTATCATAAAACTAGTTCAGTGTTGTGTTCTAAATGAATCATATTGTGTGTTAAAAATGATATGGCGGGCAGAAAGAACAGCTGAGGCGACAACCCTTGACACATTTGCGTCTATTGCATCCTATCTTCCCCCCCCCTTCCCCCCCCCCCCCCCAGCTCCTGATACCCTCGCTGAGTAGCCCTTGCAACTAATGAAGTATCCTATTCACCAGACACAGAAACATTGCAAATCTCCTCTACATAAATAGGAGCCAGAATGATCAATACTTTTATCGTGTGCTCTCAATATATAGAATAAGAAGAAGAAGAGCTGCCCTGGTGCCAGTAAACATCCGCCAGTGTGGGCAGTCGTGGGGGGGGGGGGGGGGGGGTATATCAGGGTTTGGTTGGTGGCAAGGGGGGGGGGGGGGAGGGGTTATATCAGTGTATGGTTGGTGCCAAGAGGGGAGCATTTTGTGTTAGCAGGAGTGCCATCTGTGTATGGGTGGGATACCATCTTTGCATGAGGTAGGGCGCCACCTGCGATTAGTTTTTTTTATGATCAATCTAAACGCCTTGAGATTAACATGGCATAGCTTGCTTGCGTCCGTTGCTATGGCAACCCCAGCCGCCATGTTATAACGCATGATTTACAATACTCTCGTCGGCAGATTCATGCGGAGCGACCATCTGAGCAAACACGTCAAGACGCACACGCAGAGCGAGAAGAAAGATGGCGACCAGAGCAGCGACGACAGCAACGACAAGAAATTGGAGACATGAGAGTGGTGTGGCGCAGCGACACCAGCGTGGTTCTATCGCACCGCACCTCACCATTCCACACCTGACTTCGTGGTGCGGTATTTTCTGCCGTTGCCGTCTGATGAACTCATTCGTGACGTAACGCGCCACGTGATCATGGCGTACTAAACATGGCGACGACGATGAAGTTCACCAAAGCACAATGTTTTTTTGTACTTCCGGTCGCCATTGCCAGATTGTGACGTAATGCACCCCCCCCCCACCCCCCACGATCCTCATGATTGAGTTGTCTTGCATTATTTACACTTGGGATCGGCGAGACTTATGAGCTACTGAAGATGGCAGATTGGTGCATCAGGATTTCTAAACACAACACTGTGTTCCTTTCATGTCGGAACCAACCAGTTTCACCTCTACGCAGCCCCGTGAAAATCACCAGAAAATAGCGCAACATTTTCAGTCTATTAAGTGAATGCTTAGGAATTACCTTACCAGTGAGTGATTACCATAGGTTAGGTCACCCTGACACCTTCAGCTGTACATTTGTGAGTATTTACCGTAGGTTGGGTCACCATGACACCTTCAGCTGTACATTTGTGAGTGATTACCGTAGGTTAGGTCACCCTGACACCTTCAGCTGTACATTTGTGAGTGAATACCGTAGGTTAGGTCACCATGACACCTTCAGCTGTACATTTGTGAGTGATTACCGTAGGTTAGGTCACCGTGACACCTTCAGCTGTACATTTGTGAGTGATTACCGTAGGTTAGGTCACCGTGACACCTTCAGCTGTACATTTGTGAGTATTTACCGTAGGTTAGGTCACCATGACACCTTCAGCTGTACATTTGT